TTTTAAAAAAAGCACAACTTCATCTCAAAAATTAAAAAGGGTGGGGGAGATGGCTCAGTTGATAAAGTGAGAACCTGAGTTCAGCTCCCCAACATGTATGTAAAATGCCAGATATGGTACTGTGCTTCTATGACCCCAGTACTGGGGTAGAGCAGAGATAGACACCTAGCTTTCTGGAGCTCTCTTGCCAGCTAGTCTAGTGAAATTGCTGAGTTCCATTTTCAGTGAGAGACCCTGTCTCAAAAAAAAAGGTAGAGAGAGACTGAGGAAGACACTAACATTGACCTTTACATGCATGCACACAGACAGACACACAAGATGTGTGTACTTTATTGTGCCATTCATTCATTCATTCATTCATTCATTTGACAATGTCTCCATAGCTCAAGCTGACCTGGAATTAATTCTTTCATTTATTTATTTATTTATTTTTAATACTTAATTTTATGTGTGAGTGTTGTGCCTCTGCTTATATGTTAGTGCACCCGTGTTGTGCATTGCCCTCAGATCCAGAAGAGGGAGTCATATCCCTTGGAACTGGAGTTATAAACTATTATTAGCTCTGTGTGGGTGTTGGAATTCGAGTCCGGGTCTTCTGCAAGAGCAACCAGTGCTCTTAACCACTGAGCCATCTCTCCAGCCCTTCTTTCCTCCCCAGTCCCTCTCTCAGATTTATTTTTATTTTTATTATGTGTATGTCTGAATGTGGTTTTGTGCCTATACATGTAGTGCCCTTGGAGGCCAGTAGAGAGCACCTGATCCCCTGGAGTTGGAGTTACAGATGGTCGTGAGCTGCTTGATATGGGTGCTGGGAACCCAACTCTGGTTCTCTGCAAGAGCAATTTGAGTTCTTAATCACTGAGCCATGTCTACTGCCCCAGACCTCAAATTCTTGATCCTCCTACCTTAGCATCCTCAGTGCTAGGGTTGTAAGACTAGCTACTATATGAAAATTTTAAAACCAAAAATGGCTATATACATGTAGTGTGTGTGTATAGCTAATAAACCATAGTGAATGATTTGCATATGGAAATTACAAAAGCTGTCTAGATCAGATTAAAAAATAAAATCAGCAAAAAGCTTGATTAATCCTTCATAAAAGATGATGACTGGGCTGGAACGATGGTTCAGTGGTTAAGAGCACTCAGCGCTCTTGCAGAGGACCTGGGTTTGGTTCCCAGCACCCACATGGTGGCTAACAATCCTCCATAACTAGTTCCAGGGGATCCGATGCCTTCTTCTGGCCTCTGCAGGCATTGCATGACAGGTGCACTTATATATACATAGGCAAAACACTCACACAAAAAAATAAATTTTAAAAAGATGACTTCAGCTTGTGAGATAGATGGCTTTGCCAGTAAAAGTTCTTGACACAAACCTGACAACCTCAGCCAGAGAACCTCTAGAACCTCTAGTAGTAGACACTAGAGCTTCCTCGGCTTTAGGGAGCATGTATGTGTGTAGTTATCTACATTGATTGGAATCCATCAAACTGCTTAAGATTTCTGCATTTCTCTGAAATGAGTAATAGCTCAGTAAAATTTTATCATTAAGAAAGGCACAAAGTGGGGCTGGAGAGATGGGTCAGCGGTTAAGATGGCTGTTCTTGCAGAGGACCTGGATTCGATTCCCAGCACCCACATAGCGGCTAGCATCTGTCTGTAGCTCCAGTTCCAGGGGAATCCAACACCCTCTTATGACCTCCCCAAGGGCGTTGCATGACATGGGTACACTTAAACACATGTAGGCACTACATTCATACACAAAATAATAGTAATAATATTAAAAGAAAGGCACAAAGTGTAGAGTAGTGTAAGAGACTGTAGAGTAGTTATCCTTGATTAGGATACCTATATCAAACCAAGGCTCAGGGACCATTGCAGAAGAAGGGGCAGAAAGATTGTAAGAACCAGAGATGGTAGATGACCACAAGGAAGCAGATTTTATTAGACATCTGGGAGGTTATTCATATGAACTCAGAGCAATAGTAATAGCATGCACAGACCCACGCCAGCTCAAGCCAGACAAAATTCCAGCATAGAAGTGGGGAAGCGGGAAAGAATCCCCAACCCATGCTAAGGAACTATTGGCAACTGATAACTAACTGCTGGGAGAGAGAAAGTTGGTTTTCTTTAAGGGTATGACGCTGGATAGGTTACCTAGGCTACAGAGGATGGATATACACTGAAGGACATTTGGGGTCACAAACTTGTCCTTAATATATATGTCTTAATATATATGTGACAGAGTACATGAAATACGGCTGGGGGGGGCTGCTATAAGAGGGGTGCAGGTAGGGGAGGGATATCTAATTATGATCAAAATATATTGTATGAATTTCACAAGAAATTCAATTTTTTAAAAAAAGATAAAATTTGGAAAAAAAGAGACAAGGAGACATAACAACCAGATGTGGTAGTGCACTTAGCAAGTTCAAAACTAACTTGGACTATGAGAGAGGCAGGAGATCGGTGATATAAATTATAGAAAAGATCAATGTAAGCACGTTTACATTTCCAGAAGACTTTAGAAATATTTGTATTTTTGCGTATGTTTGGAGGTACTTATTCTAGATGAGGCATTTAGATAGCTTGAGTAGGTGACATTTGTGCTCATCGTAAATGAGTCCTGGCAGACTTTAAGATGTGCCCTGCTTCAGTTGGGAGGGTTTATTATAAAACTGGTAGTTGGCAGAAAGAGTGGATTAGAGTTTTACATTTCAGTGGCTTGGGGCCATCACAGATGCTGGGGAAGAAAAACCCAGAAAAATTTCATCCTCCTCATTTTGTCTGATGGGGCACTTTTGCTGAAGGTGCAGTATATAAAGGTTGCTGAGAATTTTTATTAGTGCATTTGCTTTTCCTTTGGTAGTTTATTGAGGAAGATTTCAAATATAAAGTTTATACAGTGAATAGCTATATACTTCTAAATTCTACCATTAACATTTTACTCTGGTTGTTTTATGATATCTCACTTTACCATCCACCAAGTCATCTATTCTTAAATGCATTTCAAAGTTTACTTTGCTCTAAGTACTTGAATATATTAATCACTCTCTTGAGCTTAGTGTTTTTTTTCTTTTGCTTTAAAGCTTTCAGTAAAGTACATAAATCTTAAGAAAAAGTGTCATGGTTTTTAATAAAAATCTTTTATTATTCAAAGGAAAGGAATGTCACAGTTGGAAAGAAAGGAACACTTGAGTAAGCGATAACATTCTTGTCAACTAATGCCTATATTTTCTGCCTGTCCCTAGTAAATTCAGACTTGAGCATTCAGGCTACATTAAGCTAGATTTAAACTATGGATTAAGCAATGCTTGACTTCCCCCCAAAAATCATAGCTAACATACATAGCTCAGATGATTGTAACTGCTTGTGAACGACAGAAAAAAAATAGTCCTTGGGTCCTTAAGAAAAGATTGTACGATTGAATGATAGGCTGACCTTGCTAACCACATAATGACTAGAGACTGCCAGTTGAGACTGCTGGCTTTGTCCTAATTTAGCTAGAGGATGGTACTTTGACAGTTGTGTGGAGGGCCTTGGGACCAGTATAAGCAGGAATAGTAGTGAGCGAAGGCTCAGATGTCCTGTTCTAGAGCACGAACTACGTGTATATCTTTCTTTCTTTGTTGATTTCTGTCCAACAAGTCGGATAGAAGTTTGGCTGTGCTTATTTTAGCTATAGATGTACCTAGGATTATTTGATTTAGCATAAAAGTCATCTCCTTGGGCTGGAGGTATAGCCCAATGGTAAAGTGCACTTGCCTAGCATGCATGAAGCCCCTAGGTTCAGTCCCCAGTATTAAGCCTAGTCATGTTGTCTTACTTGGAGGATAATGAAGCCAGGTGAACCAGTTTCTCCCTAAGTCAGTTTTTTACTCTGTTTTTCTTTGTTACAGAGGAATGATATCGCCATGGCAATTACAAAATTTGATCAGTTTGACTTTCTCATCGATATTGTTCCAAGAGATGAATTGAAACCTCCAAAGCGTCAGGTGAGCAGGGAAGACATGTCCAGTTGCCGACTGCAGAGCCTGGGCACAATACTGTCATAGTACTCCCTTCCCACTCCACCCAAGGCATTTGCTGTTCCTTTTGTTCCTCTTCTTTAGTCCAGATCCATCCTTAACATCTCTTTCTCTTACTCATTTATGGATACTTTTAACTCAGTGCCTCTGGAATGGTATTCAGTGAAAATAGACAAAAAGAATGTTAAAGACTAAGTTACAAACAGTAGAGTGACATTTGATTTCAAGATTTATCGCAAATTAAACAACATTCTCAGCCAGCCATAGATTTCAGATGTTAAGAAACAACTTCTCTGTGCACAGTGGGATTAGAGTGAGTGGCCTTTGTTTTCTCCAACTCTGTGTTCTCACTCTCTGTTGTGCCCTGGCTGCACATCAGAACATCTGTTTAAAAAATATCAGTGCCCAGGCTCCACCATCCACCCACTGAATCAGAATCTGTGATGTTGCAACCTAGGTATCAGTAATGTTTAAAACTCACCAGATGCTTTTAGTGTCCAACTCTTTTAGGGCCACCACTTAAACTTTTCTTGGTAATCATAAGAATTGAGTATCTGTCCCTCTCTCCTCCCTGTTTCCTGTCCCCCAAAGGCCACATCAATCATTTTGTTCAGTACTTGGGTATATGTAGCTCTTGATTATACATGTAGTAGACCCCTGCCTGTAGAGCTCATTGTTTTGGACACAGAGTTTGCATGACTCACTAGGTATAGTAGAAACACTTGGGAAATAGTTGCAGAGTCCCCCAGGAGCAAAGCTATAACTTGTTTTGCTTGCTTTATTTTTGTTCATAAGATTTAGGTGGTTTTTTTTTCCTTAAAAAAAAAAATGATTTCATACTCTATTATCCAGAGTCATTTAGTGATGACTATAACCCCCCATGCTGGCCTGCATTAATAACCAGTCAGAAAATGTGTTGGACAAGTGGGCATCCTAATCAACGTTAATTTTATCCCTAGTTGGGGGCTTTTGGATTAGCAAACTCTAGGTCACCTTTTTTCTGAAGCAAGGTATGCCTCACTGCAGCTCCATTTTTCTGGGCAGTCTTTGCTACTGTAAACATCCTTGACTGGAAGCTGTAAGGTGTTCAGAGGAGCTTTCAGTCGGATGTTTACAGCGGCAGGCTGCCACGGTCGTCCCCAGCTGCACATCGGCTTTGAGACATTGCAGGTTTGTACCCATGGTCTTAATTCCTCTTCTTGGAGTGCTTCTGTCCTCTGAGAAGTCACAAAAACTCAAACTCTCTTCATTTGGAGCAAATACCACATGCCTGCTTCCCCTGTTGGATTTTTTTCCTCCATGGGTCCACCAGAAGTTCCCTTTAAAAACAAGGTGGTAAGCTCTGATGAAATCAGGCCTGGCTCACTCTTACTGTGCTAACTTCTTACTCTCTTTGGGCTGCCTGCTGATTGACTAAAGAGAAGGGTGTTGTCCTATCCTTTCCTCCAAAGTTCTCAGTGCTTCTGGATCTCTCAGGGTGTCAGACTCAAAGTGCTCTGATCCATCCCCTTTTAAAGTGTGCCTAGCAGGAACACTCCTTGCTGCCTGGATTTAGTTCTTTGTAGGTGTTCAAGCTATTGATTGGCATCCTATTCTGGACAGCTGCTGCCTTGCCTTTAAAAGGTTGAGATTGCTGAAAGCTGGCCTGAAATTCTAAGATAGCATTTTAAATTCTCTGTAGACATGAAGTTTTCCCAAGCTCCAAATTGGCTGGCACCTCCTAAAGTCCTTTAAAAGTGCCTACTCTCTAAAATGCACCCTCTGAAGAGGCACACTTCACTCTTGCTACTAAGGCAAATGTATTTTCTTCTAGTCTGGGGCTGGCTGCGCATCACTATAATGATTACCTATGTTGTGGTACTTTTCATTCTCTGGCACTGTTTATCAGTCTTAGCATTGGCCACTGCTAATGTTGAGGAGGTACACCTTTCTGTATTGACCCAGTCATTCAGGGATTCTAGGGCTCAAGGTGCTGCCCAACACCTTGGCAAAGGAACTAGGAATTAGGTCTCTGACCCCTCAGAGATGCTTGGGAATTTCTTTTCCAGGGATAAAGACTGTTTGTAAGCAGAAGGTGGTTGAGGGCTGACTTCTGCCCCACTAAGCTATGAGTTGAAAGTTCCTGCCCATTGAAATATCATCTTTTCACTCATTTCTTTAAATCAAACATAATCATTTCCTTGCTAGCTCAACCTCCATTGGTGGAATAAATAATGAAATTTCGTAATGCAAAAGAACCTTACATGTGCCTCCTTTCGTCCCAGCAATTTGAAAACAGCCATGTCTTGTCCTCACAACACAAACTTGAGACGCATCTACTTGATACTCAAGTGTCCTAGACACTCGTTGATCAACCCCTGAGAGGGTGTTGTAGGAAGCATAGGAGAAGCTACCTATCTGGTTGGAAGTTTTGGCAAGGGGTTATTTTGGTTTCTGACAGAGGTATTTAAAGTCTTTGCTTTTTGTCTAGTTTGCTTTTTTTACACTTGCTTTACAAGTGTAGTCATGAACAGCTGGTCACAGTCACAAGTCAAAGCTAGGAAGTGCCATTGTCCTCCTCCTGCCCGACTTCCCCTGATCTGGTCTGGGTTCTCAGTCCTCTATACTCTTATCACTTAGGAGCTTTTTCATGTTAGATCTGAACTTCTGTTTATAAAATTGGGAGACCTCAGTAGAAAATAAATACGTTGAACCTATTTCAACAGTTTTGAAAAGAACAGTTGGTCTCAGTTTGTGGTTTAAAAGGGTATTGATATAGAATTCCTGCCAAGACATAGTTGCCAGGCTCACATTTGCTTACAACTGTAAGGTTGGATTTGAAATGGACCTGGCTTTGTCACTGTTAGGTTGTTTAAGGACTTCCTTAGATACTGAAAATATTATGACGATCCTGGTCTAGGGGGATGACCATCAGGGAACCTTGTTATATAGAGATCCAAGTTTCTTAGAGTGTAGATGCCAGCAATCCCAGTTACAGTATCACCAGCAAGCACAAGAATACTCAGCCGTGTACTACAAGGGACAACAGCTTTCTTCACATCCTTGGCTACAGAATCTTAAGGGAAGCCAACGAGAATTTAGGGACTCTTCTGTTGGTTATAGTTGTTGAGTTCAAAAGAATTTGTCCTACTTCCAACTTGAATTTAGAAAAGTACTTTCCTGTCTCTCACTTTCTGCTTGTCTATATAAATGAGTGTAACCATTCAAGCCAGCATGTACCAGTGCCTAGATGGGGAATAGCAGGGACAGTCGGGAGCAAGAGAAAGTATTTTCCCTCATAGGACTTACATGTGAGCAGAACTGGCAGTTAGTGTGACATGTAGGTACAAAAATGTGTAGTGGGGGATAGTACCATGGAAAGCACATGGAGCACCTAACTGAAGGGAGGAGTCAGGATTTTGCAAATACTACTTTGGGGAGCTTTGGGGCAGGTAACAGGGTCTCAGTACCTTGAGGAAGTATCTTTTTCTGAAACCTGACAGACTTTGCTCTGAGCAAGGAAGTGAGTAAATTTAGCAAATGTTTTTACTCAGTCGGCCCATGTGGTTGTATGTTTTTGTTGTCTAAGGCTGGGCACTATATATATGTCACAGGTCACTACGGATCAGATGCCAATCTTGGTTGGTGGTCGGGGCCTGCCAGCCCCCCCTGCTGGACTGTAACCATGTTGTAGTGTGTGTAAACATCCTACACTCTCAGCTGTGAGCTCAAGGTGGCTGGGAGAGGGTTGTTTACTCCTTCTGCCATGGACAACATCAGCTGAAGAAGAACAATCTCTTCACCTGACAGATTGGACAGAGTGCTGCCTCCCTAGTCAGCCAAGGCAGCACCCCAGCTGAGACTATCCGTCAGGCCCCCTTGGGTTGCACTTCTGTGGCTAAGTATAACTAGAACCAGATGTGCTGCATGGGTAGATGCATCTTGGTGACCACAGAGCTTTCAATGTGCTATAAAAGCTGGGCACTTGTGTGAACCTGACATTTCATTCTGAAATTCTAACCTAAGAAAAGTCCTGTTCCCCTTTACTCTGCTATGTCCCTCCTGAAATGGTGGGAGCAAATTAAGAAGAGTGCTGTCTTTGTGGGGGTTGGGAGCCAGCGTGTTTGAGTAGCATCTTTCCGTTGCTGTAGCGTCTTTCCGTTGCTGGCAGTTAGCACTGTTCTCAGATCATGGCCCTTGACAGCATTTACTGACAAGCTCTGCTGGTGCGTGGTTTTTAGTTACAGTAATTATTTGTCTGTTTGCAGCTCATCACGCAATGGATGATTACTCGGTGCTTCAGAAAATTGGCTGTATGTTCTGTGAAGCCTATAGAAACTGTTATTTTTAGTTTGATTTAGCACAACTGGTCTCTTCAAATTCCACTTTCCTTTGACTGCAAATGTGGAGAACTCAGCATTCAGCAGGCAACTGCATATAGCTGATTTGGGGAAGAGTGGAAATTCACTGTGGCGGTTGCTGAGTCAGTTCTTTTCCCTTACCTGCCTCTCCTTCCACCCCACAGGAGGAGGTGCGCCAGTCTGTGACTCCTGCTGAGCCTGTCCAGTACTACTTCACGCTGGCTCAGCAGCCCACTGCTGTCCAAGTCCAGGGGCAGCAGCAAGGCCAGCAGACCACCAGCTCCACAACCACCATCCAGCCTGGCCAGATCATCATCGCGCAGCCCCAGCAAGGCCAGGTCTGTGAGCTGCGGATGGCGTCCACCTAGCAAGATGGTGCCTCTTAGGTCTGGATGGGGAAAGTATGACTAGTGCAGAGAGAGGCCATCACATCTGGATAGAGGGCTGCATTTGATGTCTGGAAACCTGACCCTTCCCCTGATTGAGTCACAGAAGCAAAGAATCACCCCTAATCTCTTTGGCCCCTGTTTTCCTCAGATGTCAGATGAGGAAAGAATAGTGGGAAAAATGTTTTTCAGGATTCCTCTGAGCTCAGACATTTTAGAAGGAAGAACATTCTCTCTGGTGTACTGGTGAACAGTAGTGGGTTCTCTCTAGAAGGTCTTTCTGTCTGTGCCAGGACTGGAATTTATACCCTCACAGGGGAGATCACCATTGCTAGTTTGCATATCTCTCTTCTCCTCCCTGGCATTTCTCTGTCCTACTGTATTTGTGTCAGGTGACCTTCTCTTTTTACGATAGTAATCAGAGGATTTTTTTCTCTCCCCCATAGTACTGTTGAGAGCAGTACCATCCGTTGGGAGTCATGAGAGGCTGCAGAGGACTCAGTACTGTGAGCTCTGAATCCAAATTCTGTCAGTCATTACTTTATTTATTCATCAAACAATGAGCATCCTCTGTGAGTAAAGTCTTATGCTAGGTATTGGGGACGTAAGCATGAACAAAACAATCCTGATTTTCAAGAAATTCACAGTCTCGTTGGGGATAACAAATTCTTAAAGGTTATACTACCACGTGGGAAGAATTAGACAATCTTAAACGTATATACAGAGTGTTATGGCAAAAGGAGTACCTAACCAAAATGTGAGGAGGTGGTAGAAGAGGAGAATGTGGTTAGAGGTTCCTTAAAGGAATAATGTTGCTGTTAGAGGGATCACTGGAAGTTTTAATAAATTAAAGGATAGTATTGGCAGTAAAAGGCATAGCACAGCCAAAGACTTAGAAATGAGAAATGACTGGAAGTGACAGCACATGCCTGTAATCTCAGCACACGGGTGGTTTGGGCAGGAGACTCAGGAGTTTGAGAACAGGCTCAGCTACATGAGACCCTGTCTCAAAACAAGCAAACATACAAATGAGAAACAGCATAGGAAGTGGTGGGACGCAGTTAGCATAGAGGAACACTTAGGCATGTCCAGGGAACACATCCTGGAGTGTCTTATGTATTCTAGTAAAGAGCTGAGTTTAGCATTCTAGTAAAGAGCTGAGTTTAGCTAGAAGGAAAACATTGGGGTGGAGATGGATTTAAATATTAATTATGACTTTGGGGTTTATTCCTTGCTAATTCTATCTATTCAGATAACAGAAATATATTGAGTGCTTGTGCTATCAGACACTGCTAGGCAAGAGAGGTTCAAAGCCGATTATAGCCCTGTCCCTGCCTCCAGCATTCACTTGCACCCTGATGCCTTAAGGGGTCTGCTTTGGCTCATGCTTGTGCCTCTGCAGTGAGAGAGTTTTACCTGCCAAAGGTCTTGTCTCTTTACTGAGTGAACTTAAAGGGAGGCTGCCAAGGGCTGACCCTGGTGGGCTGATTATTCTGAGATGCCCAGGGCTGCTGTGCCTTGACAGCAGGGCATACCATACATGATTTGGCAGCGGCCATGCTAACATAAGCCCTCATTTTCCTGAAATGATTTAGAAATACCTTGGAAATCCTCTCAAGAAAATTAGTTGATAGAGTGCAGTGATGAGTTGGCAGCATGCGTTTTTCTTTTTATTCAGCAAAAAATTTCATCTTGTCTTCTCTGCCATCCCAGATCTGGTTGGCCTGGAGCAGAGAAAGCTTATGAGGTTGATGAAGTTGGTCCCTCCAGCTGTTGTTCTGCTGTCCTGCTGCTTCAGGGTGGTCTCGGGCTGTGTCACACCTTCTGGGCCCATAGGGAATAGTGTAGGCTGTTTCAAGTTGAGTGCAAGTATCTTTTGTAAGATAGACTATATAGTAAAATAAAGTTGGGAGGAACATATGGTGAAGTGAATTCTGTGTTTTCTGTTTTTAATTGGAAACTTATTTATGGAGGTTTGGGATAGGTCGGGTTGAACCTGTGGTAGAAGAATAGATGTTTTCTGTTGTCCTAGTCCACCAAGGATACTTTTACTGAGGATGCTGTCTTTCCTTTCCTCTTCCAGTTTTCAGTAATTTCTCCCTACTAGTAATCCCTTGACTCTGTTCTGTAGTTCCCAGAACATATCCCCTTACCTCATAGTTTTAGATGCCCAGTTAAAATGTCTGGGAGGCCTGTGCAGTCAGAATTAAAAACCGCAGAGTGGCAATATCATTTAGAGCCTGCTATTCTTTCAGACTCCCAGTATCATCTATCTGATTGACAGTATTTCTTAGTTTGGAACAGGAAAGATCATGTCTGAATTGGGATGAGAGTACGGGTTTAGTTTAAAGGGTTCTCCATCTCCCACCACTCTCACCACCAGACATGCCAGGTACTCTGGGTTCATTTTAGTAATCTTTGAAAGTCACATTGTCACATTAAGGGCTAAAGTGTTGAAATTCAGAGAGCCTGCTTTATAGTGACTACAAGCCACTTAGTACAAGGGTAGCACAGTCTGCCCAAGTCATGGACATTTAGGCAGAAATGTCTTAAATCTGAGATTGCCATTTCTGGACTGTTCCAAGTTCTTGCTTTACTGAGTTCTGTTGAATAAGGGTTGAGTCATTTGAGTCAAGTCAGCATCTGGTGTTTTAACTCTCTCCCGTGGGGAGCTGTGCTGGGGTCCAGAGCAGCTTTCTGGCTAAGGTGGGCAAGATTCATTCTGCTGCTTGAATGGGGTAAAAACCTGCATGCACTAGGCCCAGCCTCAGAGATGAGCCTGTGTGTTTTCCTTTCAGTATCTTTCATACCTAAGAAGTAGTCCAGGACCCTGAATTTAACACATTCATGTAGACTCCACTTTCTGTTTCATTTTGCCGTCCAAAGTCAGCTACTGTGTGTTTGACTTTGGTCTGTTGTGTACATTGTCAGGATTGCTTTGACTTTTTTTCTTTTCCTCCCCATTATGCTGTATGCACCTTGCCATCATTGAAGGACTATGAAAAGTTGTGGTATTTGAAGTCCAGGTCTTTAAGTTGGAACCTAGGCAAATATTCTGTGCTGTGAGCCCAGATTTTGGTTTGTTTTCCCATCTCTATTTCAGAGTATTACCTCTAGCAGTGTTGTAGACCTGCAGGACTCTGGGTTGCATGTTGTTAAGAGGGTGATGAGTCTAGAGATTAATGGAGTATATTGCCCCCACTTAACCCCTACAGGTTCTTAGCCAGAGCTCAGGCAACTTTCTCTTGACTTTTCCTTCCAGACCACACCCGTGACAATGCAGGTTGGAGAAGGTCAGCAGGTACAGATAGTGCAGGCCCAGCCTCAGGGTCAAGCACAACAGGCCCAGAGCGGTACCGGACAGACCATGCAGGTGATGCAGCAGATCATCACTAACACGGGAGAGATCCAGCAGATCCCGGTAAGCCCGTCCCCAGGCTTTGTGGCTTGCTTCTCTGCTCATGATAAGAAGTACCTTGAGTGTATTTGATATATACACACTATTCCTGTTATACAACCCCAAGTTCTTTCATTATGTTTACTTTCTGCTCAGCTTCAGTCCAGGTTCCACTTCAGTGCTGTGGATGTAGCTCTTCTTCATTTCCCCTTCTACATCTACACCAAGAAATCATGGTTAGCCATACTTTATGCTAAGACTCAAAGGACTTGTGAGGCAGACCTACTCTTAAAATAATTGTTATTATATTTATTTATTTGTGTGTGTTGCGTGGGCATGGAGGTGTGCATGTGTGCCACTGTGTATATGCAGTGGTCAAAGGACAACTTTGTGGAGTCTGTTTTTCTCCTTCCACCATGTAGTTCCCAGGGATCAAACTCTGGTCATCAGGCTTGGCAGCAGGCATCTTTATCTGCTAAGCCATCTCACCAACCACCAGACCTATCTTTTGATTATCAGAGAGTAAGAGGGAGGTGTATAGGAAAGTCATAAATACACTTGTTGCATATTCATGAGTCAGTTCCCTGTGGAGCCTGCAGCAAAGTGTATTTTTGGCTTTCAATTAACTTACCCATTCCATTACTGTAGACTGCTGCTTCCTGTTTGCTTGGAGGGATTTTGTTTCTAAGGTTTGTTGATTTTTTAAAAATCTATTATTTTTTAAAAAATCACTGCCTTAGCACTTGCAAGACTATATATTGGTCATTTTGCCATCAAAAACATGGAAGTATGGAACAGTCCTTTAGCAAATGTAGGCTGGTGTAGAAACTCACTTGGACTTGCTTTGCCACTCCATCTTTGATACAAGCTCAAAGAACACCCTTCATCAGTTTTGGAAACTTTCCCAAGAGAAAGCTTTGGAAACTGTTTAAGTGTGTCTGTCTCTCAGCCTCTTAGACACACACACATAAACACACAGACTAGTTGCAGGTATCTGGGCTCTACTCTGCGTGCGTGTACACACACACACACACACACTCACACACACTAGTTGCAGGTATTTGGGCTCTACTCTGCCTACTATCTTAGCCACCGGCTCTTAAGTTCTTCTTGAATCATTCTTCCGTTTGTATGTGAAAGAACCAAAACAAGGTCATTTAAGCCCGAGAGTTCCCATCTTACAGTAGTAGCTTTGGCCATCTACAACACAAAGCTTTGGTCCAGAAGATTGGTTACAGAATGCACAACTTCATCTTTACCATTCTAACACCTCAGACATAGACATTTCCAGACTCTTGAGGCAGCTCACTCAGCAGAGTACTTGCAATAGTGGTGACTTTCAAGGCAGAAACTTTACTTCCCTCATGGAAGCTGAAGGATAGACTTGTTTGCTTTATAATTCGTGTAGCAAAGCTGTCAAGAGCAGCATCCTGGAGAACTGAGCAGAGTAACAAGAGGTCTCTCAACTTAAGTCTGAAAAGAAAAGCCTCTTCATTCTATCTCTAGACTGCTTGGAACCACTTGGCTCACAGCTGCTCATGGAATTTCTGCGGATGGCACTTTCCAGCTAAAAAATACCAGTGACTGTTAGTACACCTTCCCCCACACCTGAGACAAGGCTCTAGCCTTTCACCCTGGGATCCTTGACCTGCCCTTCTATTGACTCCTGAGACCAATCACGGTTCGTCTCAGCTTTCCAGGCCACCTTCATCCATACAAGTTGCTTAATGTTGTCGGCTGGAAGCTGAATTATAAGATTTCAGGGGAATTTGGACACAACTTCCCAGCAGCTCCTCTTGGTTCTGGAAAGAAATTATCTAGGTCACAGTACTCTTGCTGTATTTCTATTGATCCAGATGTTTTTAATGGGTTTAGATGTTATGTTTCCCCCACTTTGCCTCAAGCAGACAACTATGGAACTTCATTTATGGATGGGGATGTAGTGCAGTTGGTAGAATATGTGCCTAGCATACATAAAGCCATGGGTTTGATCCCCACTATCACAAAAACTGAGCATGGTGGTGCACACATGTAATTTCAGTATTTGGGAGGTAGAAGCAGGAAGATCAGAAATTCAAGGTTGTAGTGAATTCAAGGCCAGCCTGGAATTGAGACCCTGTCTCTAAAAAAGAGAACTTCAGTTTTTCTTGATGGTTCAAATCCTTTGAGTCCAGAAGTTCCAGAGAAGCATTTGACGTGACACTGCATGCAGGGGCGCAGGTTCATCCTGTCAGCATTTTCCTCATGGAAGTAAGGTTCCTGCAGTGAAGTTAGCTTTTTAAGGCTAGAAGGAAGCTCGCCTTAGGACAGAGACATGATGCTGTGCACTTGAGGAAGCTCCCCCTTGCAACAGAGGCAAGCTGAACAACTAGGAGGGTGCTTTCTGGGCCACGAGATAGAGACAGACCAAATCAGCCTATATTCTCAGGATCTTTCAGCCTCTTAAGTTGTGGGTGTGCACATCCACCATCAGCTACCCTTTAATGCTGAGCCACAGTTCTCATCCTTCATTCCCAGCTCCAAGCTCGAGTACTTTCACGGCACAGTGGAGTGCAAACAGCCTGAGTTAAAGCTTTCAGCATACAATTAAATGCAGCCTATGGTATTATTGTATTATCTGAGACTTCATTGTAAGCACAAAGGACTCTGTGGGCACTTTTGTAGCTTTGGTTTCCCATGATGGGGTTTTCTGTGAGAGTTTTATTGACTCTGCTTATTCTGGGGAGGTGTTTGGCCAGAAGCTAGTGCTGAACATCGCTGAACATCAAGGATTCTCAAAAGTCCTACAGACCCCCATTGGTCTTGGTTCTTGGGGACAGCAGGCCAGCCTTTTCCTCCAAAATGTGCCTCATGGGGGGTTGGCCAGTACTTGGGCTATGAGGTGGATTGACAGCCATCTGCTTTGAGTCCTTGGCAAATCCTGGAACTCGTCACAGTATTGGAAAGGATGGAAATTTCTGGAGAGAGGCCAGCACTTAAAGTCCAGCCATTCTGATAGGGTTGGGCAGTCTTGTAAGTCTCAGATGAGCTCTGATCTTACAGTCAAGTGCCAACAAATGATGAGTGTGTGACAAGCTTGGGGAGGGGGTTGAGGGGAGGAGTTGCTTGTTTTAACCTCTGTTCAAAAGAACTTTTTTTTGAAGGCAGGCTTCTTTGAAACACTTGAAGGGTAGGGGCAATCCCTGAATCTGGTCATGGAAAGTGTGCCTATATGAGGTTGTGCTCAGTCCCTTGTGGTCTCTGTCTCTGCCCCTGTCCTAGGTGCAGCTGAATGCCGGCCAGCTGCAGTATATCCGCTTAGCCCAGCCTGTATCAGGCACCCAAGTCGTTCAGGGACAGATCCAGACACTTGCCACCAACGCCCAGCAGGTATGTACACCAGAGACATGGGCTTTAGTTAAAGACAAGGCTCAGCCAGCCAACTTCTTGTGGGAAAGGAACTCTCACCACGCAGCTCTGGACACCTCATGCTTCAGCAAGAGCCACCCACCCTATACTTCTTTATCTGTGTGACTCCTGGGGGCAGATGGCAGGGGTGGTAGGATGATTGGATTCATAGTGTGTCTCTTACCATCGTGCTCTTGAGGGGCAAAGAAATACAAGAAGCAGCCTTGAGGGTACTGGAAGAAGCCTGGTGTGTGTGTACATGTTAGGCCAGAGGAAACCTAGGTGCCAGGCTGCTTTCTATCTTAAGTCCTGATAGAACACAGTTGTGTTCTAGTTATTTCTTACGCCCTTAGGAAAGCATACTTAGTTATTCTACCTCTGTAGACACCTGCAACCAGAAAAATCCCCTTCATTCCCCTGCCCAACTGTCTTACAGGCTGTGAGGTAAAGTACCAAGGGTGCCAGATGCACACATACCCCTCCCACGTTGGGGGCTTAGGGGTCATGGTCATCATTTGTAGATGATGGGTGATGCTGGTCAAGGGGAGGCATTGTTAATGGATCCTTTTGCCTCAGACCCAAAAAAAGCAGCAATCGTTTAAGAGCTGGACCTGTCTGGCCTAGTTGCATTTCTGGTGATGTATCTATTGACAGTGGTGACAGAGCTGAGTTTGTAGAGCAGGTCTCTAAAGGTCTCATTTGGGAAAATGTGAGGAATGAGCCAAAAGCAAGGCATCTGAGCTCAGTATCATCTCTGGGATATTAAAGGACCCTTTCTGTTCCTGCTCTCTGCTTGCCTATGGCCTTGGACTTTTCCTTCATTTTCTTGGGGCTCATTGACACTGATAGACATCTCAAGACTGGTGGCACCCTTGAGCCCATCTCCCTTTTGATATTTTCTTTAAAATCTTATTCTTCTTGAGATCCAAGAAGTCTTTTATGACATGGAAATGGGAAATGAGAAGGGTTTGTGGTTCCTCAGAAGTCACTATGGGAAATAGAAATAAAGCCAGAATGCAGGGAGAAGGGAGAGAGATGAGAAGTGGGTATTTGAGGGCACTTAAAATCCCTTTGATGTTGTAAATTTTGCAACTTGGTACTTAGTTGGTACTCAATAAGTGTTGAATTGACACTGAATAAAATACATGTGATTTAAAGGTAAATGAACCTTCTCAGCTGCCATGAATAGTGGTCTTGCTGACCACAAGGCAGTTAGCCTTTTTATCTATGAGAATTTTCCATTTGTCTCAGGCTCATTCGTTTATTCTGTCGGCATTTCTTCAATACTTACTTTGCACTAGGGTAGTATATAGATTAATCATAGCTACTGTCCTTAAGCAGTTTACAGACCTGTGGGAGGAGAAGGACACCCCCCCACCAAAAAAAGCCCTTTTCACCTGCCCCTTTCCCCTCTTCTAGCCCCTCAGCCTCCTGAGTAGGCCTGCAGGGCTGGTTTTGGCCCATGTGAGGATATTTGAGAGGATGAGCTTTACCTGACAGGTTGGCTGTAAAGATTCCAAAGGCTGGTTACAGAGGCTAATGCTAGTCACATGTTCCACAGACAGTCATGCACACACCCTGGCCTTCTTTCTAGTTTGCCCCTCCCCCCCATTCCCATCAATGGTTAGTATATGCTACAGCTCTGCCTGTCAGTGTAAAATCCCTAAGACCCAAGATGTGAAGTGCACGGGATAAATGTTTTTTCTTGCTTCCCTTTTGGCCCAAAAAGCTGCTGTCGGAAAAAAGTACTTCATGTTTTGCCACAAGGACTACAAGAGCCAAGGCTACTGTTTACCAAGGTGTTTCATATTGCAGTCAGATAATCCAGGTGATATGGGTTTGGTTTGGAGCCCACCTGAGGATGAAAAGGACCGTTCACCTCCTTGCCCATCATTTCACAGTCTGCCTCTACTGGCTGAAAAATGGACTCTTAGGGCTTGCATTAAAAGCCTGAAAACTGAGGTGCTGGATATTTGCTTTGAACCTCAGACCTTGATGGGAGGGATTGATTTGTGAGATGAGGTAGACTTTAAGAGAGACAGGCCTCTCAGTGTGCCTCTATGACACCAGCTCTTTGCTAGCCATCAGTGCAAGGAGATTGGGAATTGCCCTTGCTTGCTTCATAGGCTTTTGTCAAACACGTGTTCTGTGGCCCTGAAGCTGACATGCTTGCTCTGTCCTCTTGCTTCCCACAGATCACACAGACAGAAGTCCAACAAGGACAGCAGCAGTTCAGCCAGTTCACAGATGGACAGGTAGGATACCTAGCCTGGGCAAGGGCAGTTGCAAAGAGTTGGTAATCTGGGGATGCAGGTGGTGTGTGGGTTTGGATGGTTAGGGCTACTCTCCCTACTAATAGTTGGTGAATTTTTTTACCTGCTTTCCCCCCATAGCATGGTCCCATGGTCCACTGAGGATAGGATAGGATGTCCAAACTTATACTGTCTCAACGGGAGAAGAGGCAGTATCTGGACCTCCTCTAGCAGCTTCTCTTGGCTTTGGCTTTTTCAGGGACCTCTTGAGAAACCAAGAGGCCAAGCAGCCCTAACCTGTCTTTACCGTGGTGAGGCTTAGTTGTGTTTAATATCAGGCCACCTCCTTTGCAGGGCCAGTAGAGGAAATGAAAATTCAGTTTAGCTTCAGTCTGAACCATGTGTTTGGATAGAGGGCGGCATGTGGAGGGGGATGCTGGTACTGTGGTTAAGTACTTGTGTTTATCACTGTGGAACAGCATATACCAAACTTAGCTCTGAGCTAACTGGGCTCTGAGCTAACTGGAGCAGTGGAGCCTAGGGAAGTGAAAGCCATGGAAATGTAACCCCTGTTGCCTTTCACCTCTGACAGATCACCACCACATCCCCCTTTCCTCTGACACCTTGCAGTGGATAGTGGTAGAGGTATCTGGAGCCCTCCCCTGGTTGGAGGCACATAGAGCTGTCTGCCTGTGTCCTAGGAGTAACCTCACTCTCCTCTCCACCCCTCACAGCAGCTCTACCAGATCCAGCAAGTCACCATGCCTGCCGGCCAAGACCTCGCCCAGCCCATGTTCATCCAGTCAGCCAGCCAGCCCTCCGACGGGCAGACCCCCCAGGTGACCGGAGATTGAGGGCCTGAGTTGGCAAGGCCAAGGACACCCAACACAATTTTGCCATACAGCCCCAGGCAATGGGGGCACAGCCTTCCTCACCAGAGGACTCGGGGACTTCAGTGCCTCCTTCAGGCTAGGACATTGGTGCACTATGCCCCACGCCTAGGGACCGAGATTCTACAACATAAAGATGCAATATTTTTTATTTCCTTTCGTCCATTTTTTTTCTCCAAGGAATCAATATTTCAATATATTGAGTGTGTGTGTCCAATGCTATGAAATGAGAATATTAAATAACATATTTATGGCATTTTCTCTTCAAGAGTGTGGTTGAAGAAATATTTGTCCGTTTGTGTCTCTGGTTTGGGTTCTTGCCACCACTTCTTTTTAGGAGCAGGTCTTGATTTTCCTTCCTGGGGGTGCACAGGATTTCCTGACTCTTGGAATAGCTGCTCCCCTTGTTCCCAGAACCAGTTAGGATCCATTTCTACCAGCATTCCTCTCCACTCCTCCCCAGAGCTTTGTGCAGCCAGAGGCCATGGAAACATTCTTTGCATGTGGGAGAGGAACTCAGTCCGCACAGGGAGAGGTGGTTTCATTCTAGCCCTTCTCTGTGAGATCCAAGGAGGCTAGCACTTTGCATTGCTCTCACCCCCTTTTATTGTGCTAGTCTCCCTTGCTGCATGGACTTCAAACTGCATGAAATGCAATAAATCTTGTTTTAGATAATTTAGAGTCTGTTTCTGTGTCTGGGGACATAAATGGGGCCACCTGCTTGGGGAAAGGCTTGGAAAGGTTTGCTTGCTCTCAGATTGGATGTCTGGAAAGATGAGGCCCCTTGTGAGGAAGGGGTGTACAAAGCCAAGGGAACTTAACACCACTCGTTAGGTTCAAGCTGAGGTTCTTGGCTGATGTACAGGTGAATTTCATCAGGACACATCTGCTTGGAAGAGCCATGCGCCTCACCTGACTTAACTACCGAACATGTGTCTGATGGGATCACAGGGACATCCCTGCTGGAGAACACTGGCTCTCCCGGCAAACAAAGATCAGAGATCTCTGCAGTCATGCTAGCACAACGTGGCCCTGAGAACTGCCTGTGGTGGTGGTTCCATTACCAAAGGCCTGGATCTGCCATAGAGGGCAACCCACACCCTTTGTCACCAGCACACGTTCCTACAGTCAGGAAGGGGCAACAGAAAGAGCCGGGAGTGAACCATCTCTGACCTCTGTCTTCTCTATGACTAACATGGGACCTGCTGCCATGAGCTGCATGCCAGAAAAAGCAATGGCTTGCCATAAACCCATGGGCAGTTCCCTGGCTTTGAGGTCAAGGGGTGAGGTCACAGGAGAGAAGAGGTTCATGCTGGAGTTTTAAGCCTGAGGCTTGGTGCCCTTAGAATTCCCTTGCCACAGTGTAAACCAGTGTGGTAGGGTACACATTGGCATTGGAGAATTGGGAAAGACTCGGGGTGACAACACTGCAGTGGTCACAGTTCATGCCTCCTCCTATCCTCAGGCTTCTTTTGCCTACATTCAGGTCTGGCCAACTCTGCCCTTTACTCTCTGCCTGGGGGAGATGATTGGCTGTCTTCTCTATGCTTGTGGTCTGTTAGGTGTCATCCTGTTTTCATTTAAGTGTACCTCACCTTATTCTACAAGAAAAGTTGAGGTGACTTGCTATGAGACAACATAATGAAGTAAGATAAATAAGATTGGGGCAGGGGGTGAATAGGAAATCGGGATCATAGAAACAGGAACACAAATATAACTATCAAGACCTACATAATTGTTAAGATGACTTGATGCTGAGCTTCCTGGTCACCAAAGCAAAAAGCTAGGGTCGGGTAAGGATTCATTCACACTATAAAGGGAAGAAAGTAAGTTTTGCAAAATGGATTTTCCTACTTCTTTTTTCTTTTTTCTTTTTTTTTTTTTTTTTTTTTTTTTTTTTTTACAAGGTCTCCCTGTAGCCCCAGCTGTCCTGGAACTTACTGTGTAGACCAGACTGGCCTTGAACTCACAGAGATCTGCCTGCCTTTGCCTCCCGAGTGCTGGGACTAAAGGCGTGCGCCACTATGCCCAGCAGATTTTCCTACTTTCAAGGTGTTGGACACATACAGTTCCCTTTCAGTGTCTGGGACGGTAAAGCAAGTGATGGTGTCATTGAGTTGGGGCAGTCCCCTCATTAAGACTCCGAAATATAGCCAGCTATCCTCATCCCAACTCTGAGCTTGTCTCTAAAGGGGTCTTCTGGCCTTTCTACCTGTCTCACATCCAGGCCCACCTAAGTGGACCGTCCCAACATCAAATTTTCACTGATGGCCACAAGCCCAGGCCTGCATGGAGATTTTAAGAGAAAAGTGAGGGACCCTGTCTCAGGAAGGGAGCTGCATCCCATTTCCTGGTACTCTATCCCACTGTGCTCGACTCATTCCTGAAAATCCAATTGCCCGTCATTACATCCTGTTTTTCCTTAAGACTTCATTCTTGGTTTGGAGATACTTCGATTAGTCGTGATTGGCAAGCAGTTTCTCTGCTCAGCACGTTCCCTTTAAGTGGCCATGCCAGGAGGCCTGTTCTGGTGTAAACAAACCCTTTGGTGCAGCCCAAGAGAGCCCCTATCTAATACCCAGCGCGATCCCCTTACATCCGGAGCACTCAACATTTTTCTTAGCATTTGCATCATCCGTCCTCTGGTGATCTTCACAGTGACCCTGCAGAAGACAGGAAGAGGGATCACGATCCCTATTATAGAAAACATCATGAGAGGCCTAAGGCAGTGCAGTGACTTGCCCAAGGTTACTCTGATTTGGGGGAGGGGGAGGTAGGGCCAAATTCTGGTCCTCTGGACTCCTGTTTGTCCACAGTTCCTCACTGGTTAATGGTGAGGTGTATGAGAGAGAAAGCAAGGCCCCATTAGTATTGTCATTGAACCTCTTACCTGCTTTACTCAGCTTCCCCAAGCCTACTGGCCCAGCCAGTGTATGTGAAGTAAAGCTGCTCTGACCTCCAGTGGTTGGTTTAACTTCGGAGTACTCTTGGGTAGGGATTGGAGATCCCTGGGATTATGGGCAGAAGACCTGGACAGTGCCCTTGTTGCTCAGGTCTGCCGGAGCCACAAGGGGGCAGCATGCTGCCCTTCCCTGAGTCTGGGAGGTACCCTGTCCTCAAGACAATTTTAGAAACGAAAGGGGGTGCTACCCATTTCTCAGTGAGTGCTAGCTCCTAAGCCCCCTTTCTGATAAGACTCTGACCCCTCGAAAGGAGGGCCTCTGGGATAACAGGTAAGTGATTAGATTTAAACAACCAACAGCCCAAGTCTGTTGGAAATCCTCCCTTCCTTCGTACTTGCACTCTCCTCCGCTGCCTACTGCACTCTCCTTGTCATACCTAACCACTCTGGTTCCTGAACTTGCCCCCATGTTTTCAGAATGTGCTGGCCCCAGTGCCTGGAATGCCCTTTTCACTCATTGATCTCTTATGCATCCATCAAATCCTGATTTAAATGGCTGTCACTGAGAAACATCTAATTCCTCAGGCAGAGTCAGTGAGGACCTCTTCGATGTTTCTGTATCAACTTCTGCAAACTATTATTAGAGTTCACATACACAGTCATTCAGCAGATAGTTCTTTGGCACTGTGTGTGTGTGTGTGTGTGTGAGAGAGAGAGAGAGAGAGACAGAGACAGAGAGAGAGACAGAGAGAGAATGTTGTTTTGGACATTTGGAGTCCAGTTGAACACAAGCCAGGTGAGGTCCCTGCAGTTGTGGACTTCAGCACCTGCCACATCCACCCTCTCAGCTGCTCTCACCATGGCCTTTTCTTGTTAACAGTTTTTGACTGAGCACTGATGATCTGCTAGGCAGGGTAGTGGTAGTGCTTTTAAGAAAGTACTGTCTAGAAAAGATAGCTAGGCTGGGGGTTAGAGTGCTTGCCTGGCATCCCTTGGGTTTGATCCCTAGCACATCATAAACCAGACATAATAGTGCACACCTGTAATCCCAGCACTTGGGAGGCAGAGGCAGGAGGATCGGAGGTTTAAGGTTATCCTTGGCTACATAGTTTTAAGGCCTCTCTGGGCCATGTGAGGCCCCTGTTTCAGAGAGCGGGGTTGGGGGGGGAGAAGAAAGGGAGAGAGGAGGGAGAATGAGAATATAGCTAAAGCTTGGTACATAAATTCTCATTTCATCTCCACATTTTTCAGTGAATGGGTAATCCCCATTTTATAAACAAGAAGCTGAGGCACAAAGAAGCTAAGAAGCTGCCTAAGGGTATCAGCTGGCTGGCCAAAGGGAATCAGGTACTCCAAAAAAAGCCTGCCGTCTCAGGTGGCTCAGTCAGCCCTGCCTCCACTGATCTTGTTCCTTCTACCACCGGCTCCTGAGCATTTGTCCCACACAACCAGCTGTCTGTAGGCCTTTCTAAGGTGGCATCTGTGCTCTCTAGAGAGGATCCTCAGGTGGGTCAGATGCCCAGTTGGTCACATGAGTAGCTTGAACATGGCCTCCTCAAGGCCCCAGAGCCAGACTGGTGGTATCACCCCTAGCTTGGGTATCATGCCACTACCACAGTCCAGAAAGAGGGGACAAGAGGACAACAAGGTGCTGGCTTTCAAAAGAGGTGAACTTGAGCTGTACCCTAGCAGGGCCAGGCTCCTCTGTCTGACCAGTGCTGAGGTAAGATCCAAAATAGATCCCAAGCTGGCTATTGGAGCCTTCTGCCCCTGAGTCCCTACCTCCCCTGAGCCTCATGGCACCTGTGTGAACTCCTACCCCCTCCCCCTAGGCTCTGTGCCTCTCTTTCAGTAAAGGTCTATGGAACAGAAGCTTTCTAAGATATCATAAGTGTCCTCATCTTTATTTTGCCCTTTGATTTAAATGACAGTTTGGCAAGATAAGGAATTGTAGGTTCACAGTTCTTTGCCCTCAGCACTCTGAAGATGCTCTTCCTTCCACTGCCTTTTGGCATCTGTTGTTGCTGATGAGAAGTTTACTGTCAGTTCAATTACTGGACATTTGTAGAAAAGCTATCTCTTCTCTCTGCTGGCTTTTAGAATTTCCTCTTTATTCTTGATATTCTATACTTTTGACTGCGAGGTGTCTAGGTATAGTTCTGGTTTTGGGGTTTTTTTGTTCTTGTTTTTGTTTTAATTTTTTACTAGGCTGTCTGTGGACCTACTAGAAATTTCTGTCTTAATTCTGGAAAAAGCTTGATCACTCTTTAGCATCTCTAAAACTATTAATATATGTGCTAAAGTTTCCCATTCGTTCTGCTATGTCTCCTCCTTATATGCTTAGTTTCCTTATTCTGGGCTTCATT